TTCTTCGTGTATTTGATCAGGAAAAACATCAGAGTATTCGTCCAATAGTCGTTGGGCAGTTGCTTCACAGACTGCGGCTCGGTACTCTCCGCTTGTTGGCTTGCATGAGACTCTGACCTTCTGATCTGTGAAATCAATGGTTGATTCCCCACACCTGATTATAGCTTTGTGGCGATTCAGGAATGGCATACCTATTAGGGCATCGTATTTGGCTAGATTTCCAACCAGCATTTCCTGGGAGGGTAGGACTGCAGAACCAAGTCGAATAGTCGTACTACAGGTTTTATGACTTGTGGATCGTGATCCCTTTACTGCCATATTGACAGGTATGGGTTGGTTAAGGTCTCGAGTTGGGAGTCCATGGACAGAGACAAAGGCATTACTGATCATATCTCTTCCGATTGTACCAGTGTCGAATAGGACTCGAGCCTTTTTGCCATTGATCAGGATAGTACCTTCCAGGGTGGTGTGTGCTTTGAATGTAGCTGGAGGTCGGACACTGTTGCATTCCACATTGATATATCCGATATGGATCTCTTCATATTCACTGGATTGGGTATTATTGCTTTCAACATTGTTGGCCGATGCCTCTTGCTTAATTGCCTTTCCTTTCCCTTTCTTCATAGGACAGTTCTTTGCCATGTGTCCTGTTTTTCCACATTCAAAACATTCTCCTTTTTGCCGTCTCGATTCTTTGGAGGATCTTGTTTTCTTCTTGAAAGCCCATGGGGTATCGTCTTCAGAGTTGCTGGAGGCTTTGTGCCGTGGCTGGCTGTTCCTACTAGAGGATGTCTGTGTTTTGTAGGCCTTGGTCTCATGGAGAATGGCATCCTTTCGTTCTGCTCTTGCAATTATTACTGCAATATCATCGCCGTCTTTCTCGAGTGGTTCTACTTCTCGCCGGAGGGTAGGGTGCATGGTGTCGTAGAATCGTCGCTTCAGGATGTATTTAAAGATACTTCCTCTCTCCATTCGGTTCTTATACATCATTAGGTCCGTAGCCACATCAGTGATTCGCTTGACATGCGTTCCGTTAACTTGCTGGAGCTGGTTGAATTTGTTGTATAGGAGGTCGTTGGTTATAGAGGATTGGAATCGTCCTTTCAGGTAATTGAGAACTGTAGTTCCTCTTAATCTTACATCCCCGCTGTATTCCTTATAGCATTGGTGGTATGCGTCGGTTGCCCTTCCTTCACAAAATGATCCAATGATAAGTCCGGTTGTAGGGTCTTCTACATCTTTTCCTTGTAAGAGTAGGAAGTGTGAGAGTTCCGTCGCCCATCGGTCAAAAGCTTCAGGTTTGAGGTCTTTTCCTTCTCCTGTGAACTTTGCTGGGAGGTGGAGTTTAAACTTAGGGGGTTCAAATACTGCGGGTACCTCCTCTTCTTCAGGCCTAGCCCGAGATTTTCCTCCTCCAGAAGGCCCTCCTCCTGTGCTAGCCATTTCTGATTCGCTACTGGACTCAGGGTCGATTGGAGGTTCAATGAGAGGCTTCTTTGCTGGAGTAGAAGGGAATTCTCCTGGAGGTTGTGCATCTTCCGTGTTTGTAGGATCGCCCAGCTCTTTAGCAGAGCGCCAGGGTTGTTTCTTTATTGTAAGGTCTTGCCGTGGGATTTGCTTCCCACTCCTGGTCGTCAAAGACTCCATCTTGGGTTTGAGATGAAGCCGAATGTACCGTGATTCTGCCGCTTCTCTCCGCTAGCATTCTGGGGTGGATATTGATAGGTTGATCAGGCCTAAATCCGGGGACCGGTTCTTAACCACTTGCGGAGGTTAAAAAAATGTAACGTGTTCGCAAAGTGCTAATCACGTTATCGGTAATAGGTACGATAGTTGGCAGGTGGCCTGCTCTTCCAGAGAGGAGGCGAGAGCTGAGAACTAAAGAAGGCTTCGAGGGTGTACTGGGGAACAAAGAAGTAACCGTTCAACCAAGTATATTGAAATACTGTCTGTCGAAGTCTGCCTTTTCTATCATAGAAACAGGCGGTCTTTAAATACACAAATCTGTTCATGTCTTAACATGAACGAAACTAGTCAAAGGTATCAATCAATACACTTTGGTAAAACTCCTTAAGTATCAAAGCGATACTTAAAACAAAACATAAAACAAAACCAAGTATCAAACGATACTTAAAACAAACCAAGTATCAAAGCGATACTTAAAACAAAACATAAAACAAAACCAAGTATCAAACGATACTTAAAACAAAACATAAAACAAAATCAATAACCGAGTACCCGTACCGATTACACTGAGTGAACTCAGATATCTCCCCCAGAATCCAAGGCATCAAGGCCCATCATGATAGCAAAAGAAATGCTCGGGGCGAAGCGACGGCAAGGACGAGGAAAAGTACTTAGAACAAAGCGTGAAGAACCTATCTTCCTCGGCTGTATCGGCCTCCTTATATAGTATTCTTCCCGCCTGTAGTCATGTGACCTAAGGTGGTCACATGTGCGAAACCTAATCATAACAAACTAGTCAGGTGACCAAAGTGATCACATGCTCAAAACCCATAACCTCATAGCGAGGTCATGTACAAGAACTCATAAACCAATCATAACGCAATAAACAAGTCATATGACTCGACTGAGTCATATGCGCGAAACCCATGACCTCATAATGAGGTCATGTGCGAAACATAAATCACATGTGCAAGGCTTACCCGCAAGGCACACTCGCAAGGTATACTCACCAGGCGCACGTCCTATGACTCATATTTGAGCCATGTGCGAAAGCATCACAAATCCCACACATGACAAAGCATATGACCCGAATGAGTCATATATGTAAAACAATAACATACCTGTGACTCATAACTATGTGTCACATGAAAGCTTCTTTCATACCAAGCCACATTCGTGACACCATGATAAAGTACTCAAATTGACAGCATCATGAGAAACCATCAGGCAACGAAACGAGAAGCAAACAAGCAATCCACCACACAATGCCAACAGACATCAACACCAAAAACTCCAGGAACTAATGAGTGAACTCAGATATCTCCCCCGAAATCCCCAGCATCAAAGCCCATAGTGGGTATAATAGAAATGCTCTGAGGGGAAGTGACAGTAAGGACAAGGAAAAGTACTTAGAACTAAGCATGAAGAACCTATCCTCCTCAGCCATACTGGGCTCCTTATATAGCGTTCTTCCCGCCCATAGTCATGTGACCCAAGGTGGTCACATGTACAAAACAAAATCATAACAAACTAATCATATGACCAAAGTGGTCACATGTTCAAAACCTATGACCTTGTAGTAAGGTCATGTGCAAAAACTCATAAACCAATCATAATACAATAAACAAGTCATGTGACCCCAAGTGGTCACATATGCAGAACCCATGACCTCATAATAAGGTCATGTGCAATACACCAATCCTATGCGCAAGGCATACCCACAAGGCACACTTGCAAGGCACACTTATCAGGTGCACATCCCATAACTCATACTTGAGTCATGTGCAAAACATCACAAATCATAACATAACAAACTATATGACCCAAATGAGTCATATGCGCAAAACAATAATATACCTATAACTCATAATTATGCATCATGTGAAAACCTTTTCTATGCCAAGCCACATTCATGTCACCACCCCTCAACAACAATGCCTTCTGCAAAGACCGGCCATCTCACAGACTTTGAGAAAGGGTAAATTATTGCTGAGAAAAAAATGAATTTTCTTTAGCTGAAATTGGAAAGCTCTTAAACTGTTGAAAGAGTACAGTTCTCAGTTTTCATAAGTGCTATTAAAAGAGTTGTGATGAGAAAAACCTTCTAACACCAGGAAAACACAAAATTATCGATAACAAAACCTGCCACTACCTAGCCAGAGAGTCCAAGAAGAAACACCACCAAACCCTGTCAGAATTGCATAATGATATTACACTATATGCCTCTCTGAGTACTGTCAAAAGAGCTTTAGCATCAGTCAATATAAAGAAATGGAGAGTAAAGAAAAGAGCTCTTCTGGAAGATAACCATGCTGTCAAGAGATTAGCTTAGGATATGGAGCATAAGGATTGAACAAAGGAGGACTTTGAGGGTGTCATCTTTAGTGATAAATACATGGTTAAAAAGTCTAAAGATCCTAAGAGTATTTAGATATTCAGAATACCTGAGGAAAAGTGGCACAAGGACTGCATTCATGGGGTTACAAAAGGTCCTGAGATAAAGCTGATAGTCTGAGCTTGTATTTGGGATAAAAATAAGGGTCCTCTGATTTCTATTTTTGGGGAGAGTGTGAATAGATTTGTATATATTGGAGTTTTGGAAGATACTTTAGTTGATACCTGGCAGGAGGTGGAGGACACAGTTGGGGATCCTATATTTCAGCAGGATAGTGCAAAGATACATACTGTAAAGGATACTATGGCTTGGTTTGAGGAAAATAACATACAGGTTATGGAATGGCCACCCAATTCCCCTGATCTCAATCCTATTGAGCATTGTTGGAAGAGGGTAAAGGAAAAGCTATACCAGCGCTTTCCTGACATTCATAAGACTAAAGATAGTCCAGAAACTGTTAGAAGGCATTTAGCAGAAGCTCTTAATGAGGTTTGGGCTTGTGATATAGAGGGGAATTTTTTGGAAAGGCTGTGGGAGTCTATGCCTAGGAGATTGGCTGCTGTTTTAGATGCAAAGGGATGGTACACAAAATATTGATTTTTTTATTCTATAATTTCACATGAGAATTTTCTTATATCTATTGAATCTCTAACTAAATTTTCACTTCATTCTGGGTAGTTGTAGTTGCCTAGGTAGTAAATTTATAGTGGTGGTGGAGTTGTGTTTACATCGCCGGACAGAACGATTTGACCTGATACTTTTACCTTTTTTCCACGTATGTCCTACTTTGCAAACAGGACTAGTATCATACAACACACCTAACTAACCTTCCACTCGGCAACTTCCTAGCACCGATGCGGCTCTGCGATAAACCTACCAATCCTTGGCAGCCACCGCAACCCCACCGACCCCTATCACCATGTCCTCCCCATCCCCCTCCAGAGAGGAAGGAGAAGATATCACCCTTCCAACAGACCTCTTCACCGAACCCACCGACTTCCGCCCCGCAGACAAACCCGCAACCACGGTCTCACACACCCTCACCACCGCACCCTTCGAGAACCTAACCCTCCGCCTGGTAGGACATAACCCACTATGGGGGCACATGCTCTGGAACGCTGGCAGAGTCGTGAGTACGTATCTGGAGACGCATACGGGATTAGTTTCGGGAAGGCGGGTGTTGGAGTTAGGTGCCGGTGCGGGATTGCCTAGCCTTGTCTGTGCGCTAAGGGGTGCTGGGGAGGTTTGTTCTCTTCTGGCGTTTTTTTCCCGAAGGAAGTCAGCAAAGAAGGGATGCTAATGGAGGTGGGTAGGTAGTTGTCACGGACTATCCGGATCCAGAGTTGGTGTCTAATCTTGCGCACAATGTATCTACGCTTCCGCAGCCCGTCCAAGGTAGTATCGTGGCCAAAGGGTACCTCTGGGGACGGGACGTAGCAGATCTCGGTGACCCATTCGATACATTGATTCTTAGCGATCTGCTGTTCAACCATTCCGAACACCAAGCACTGCTGAGGAGTGTCGGTAGCTGTTTGAAGAAGGCAGCTGATGCAAGGGCTTTGGTGTTCTTCACGCCCCATAGGCCTTGGTTGTATGAGAAGGACTTAGCATTCTTTGATGTTGCGAGGGAGGCAGGGTTTGCCGTTGGGAAGGTGCTAGAGGAGGTGTTGATTGGTCCGATGTTTGAAGAGGATCCTGGAGTGGGTTTCTGATATGATATTCTCTGGATTGGTAAAGGGCTAATTAGGGTTTAGGATCGGGAATTGAGGAAGACGGTGCTTGGGTATGAGATGAGATGGAAGGATATTTCGTGAGGGGATTAGGGGCTCCTCGGTGTATCTCGTGGAGGATCTTTAGACAGTGCGGGGGCGCTCATCCCGAGAATAAAACCAAAAGGTATGTACAGTACTAGATCTAAATGTTTTGTTTGGTCGCCTTTTTAAACCAAAAGCATCCATATCCACCCCGCTCTAGGAAAACCAACATCCATGAGAACCTGATTCCATGACACATTATCAAACCCGTAGATAAGATGGGAGACCTTAAAAAGTATAAAGCCGTCCAATTTTTCAAAGCCAAACAAATACATTGAGATAATAACCGCTATGAGAGAATGAGAATCTGATGAGTACAGAGAAGTAAGAAAAACCCAAGACTATCAACCTTCCTCCATGTGTCCACTGTCGGAGGCTGTGGGGAGATGCCGCTGCCCTTGTCGCTTGAGATCGTTGGCACCGATAGATCCCACAGTGAGGCAGGTGGTCGTGCAGCTGTCCTAACTGCCTGCCTGCCGTTCGGTGGCCAACGAATCCCCACTCCAAGGCAGGCTATTTGCCCTTCTGGCCTGGAGCTTGCTTGCCTTCCCTGGAAGTCTTTGCGAATGGGGAATGGTGGTGCATTGGTAGATTTCGTCATGACTCCCCCATGAACACACCAGTATACAATTCCTTTGTTCTCTTTCGGACGCATCGGCAACGTTTAGGCATAGCGGGAGGTGGAAGCAATTGGTAATGAAGTAAAGGTGTCCTGGCGTATTTCCGTAATCGTGATATGAAGATACTATGTGCCTCAGGAGTGGCGAAGTGTGCCAAGTAGCGCTCTAGAAAGATATCGTTCCCTAAAGCTACGCATATGCCCATATGGTGGTACTTTCTTTGTGCCTAGCATTAGGAGCCTAGCGTTGTAGTGTTAAGTCAAGGATTCTGGCGTGTTGGGGTGACGTTGTCTCATCCAAGTAGTGGTGTTCGGGCTCCATTATCTGGTCCATAAGGGTTGGAATGGCCTTGTCTGAGTAGTATTTTTACCACTCCCTGGAGCCCCTTCCTAGCAGCCCACAATAGTGGTGTATAACTGTGGGTATGTGGCTTGTTGGGATTGACCTCCTCTCATCTGAGGGGTATTTCTCGCCTATTCTCAGTGCCCAAGATTTTTGTAGATATGTGGCTGTTGTAGTCACTCAACAGGCTCAACATAAGCTTTTGTGCAAAGTGTGAATGCTCCCTTTTGTGTGTGTTAGGAATACCAGGATCCAATACCTAGGAACCACCTTAAGTAGGGTAACTCCTCTTGGAATTGGAATCTATAGTTTCCAACATCCTCCTCTGGCCCCCTTACGGGGCCCGCATGTTACCGTAAAATCTTGAATAATTGAACAATGTACTATGAAGTCAAAATAAGGTGTGAAACCAGAAAGCATGGAAATTAAGGTATGAGTAACAGTTTTTCAACAAAAAAAACAAAAAGTATGAGGAGTAATCAATGGACTTTGCCATTGACTCCAATGTCGACTTATCATTACAAAGAGTGGTGATCTATAGTTAACTCCTGTGACTATAATAAATAAATAAATAAAAGAATAGAAAAGCAATTGAGGATAGAGCATATATCCAAAGGTGAAAATGTCAACAATGTTCTCCAACAAGAACGCAGCTGGATGTATCAAAGTCCAAATTGATCTCCCAACCCTTCCTCCAACGAAGTTCAATGCTGGAATAAAAAAGAAAATAGGCCCAAAGTGAAATCCATTAAGCGAAACCCTCCAGAAGGTCTCTCACCTAAAGCCGATTCAAAATCTCCATCGGTCATATACAGTTAGTGTCACGAACGTGACTTGGCACGAAAAATGGTTTTTACATGACTCATGATTATGAGTCATAGGTATGTTATTATTTCACGCAATATGACTCATTTGGGTCATATGACTTATTATGTTATGTTTCACACATGACTCGATTATGAGTCATGGGACGTGTGCCTGGCAAGTATGCCTTGCGAGTGTGCCTTGTGAGTATGCCTTGCACATATGATTTATGTTTTGCATATGACCTCATTATGAGGTCATGGGTTTTGTGCATATGACTCATTTGAGTCATATGACTTGTTTATTGCGTTAAGATTGGTTTATGAGTTTTCACACATGACCTTGCTATGAGGTCATAGGTTTTAAGTATGTGACCACTTTGGTCAC